AGAGGCAGAGGCAGAGGCAGGTGGATCTACATGAATTTGAGGCTAGCCTGCTCTACAAAGTAAGTTCCAGGACAGCCAGGACTATACAGAGAAACCCTGTCTCATAAAAAGGATTTCTATACAGGTCTTTAAAAGTTTTTAAAGACATGGGCCTCACTACCAAGCTATAAGTAAGAAAAGGATTCTCCACACCACCCCCTTCGGGTGACATATGCTAATTTCAGGTTAACACCATCCTTAATGGACAACCTAGAACAAAAAGATTTTCAAATTAGGCTGCAAAGTAAAACATCTAGGTAATTTTGAAAATCCCCACATATAGACCACAACACTGACCAAAAAGTCTGAATGTCTGAGATGGGGCCAGTCTGAAAAGCACTGTCTTAGAGGGCTGACTTTATTTATTATCATCCGTGAAGTGATGGTAAGTACCAATTCTTACTATCTTGTAGAGGCAAAACATACAGAAACCTTTTAGATTAACAGTGTTCCCCTTAGTGTGGCTGTGGGGCAAAGATATCTTAAGTAACCTCTCAGTGATGTGTCACTCTCCTAAAGAGTACACCAGGAAGAAGGCTAATTCAACCACGAAGAGCCCTGGCAACAAGGGATGTATTGATAACCACACATGGACACTGGTCAGTAAGTAGCTCCCTACTGGTGATGCTTCCAGAGCAGTGGTTCTCAACCTTCCTAATGCTGAAACCCTTTAATACAGTTCCTTATGTTGTGGTGACCCCCCAATTATAAAATTATTCTTGTTGCTACTTCATAACTGTAGTTTTGCTACTGTTATGAATCATAATGTAAGTATCCGACATGCAGGATGTCTGATAGGTAACCCCTGTGAAAGGGTCATTTGATCCCTAAAAGGGCTGCAACCCACAGGTTGAGAGACGCTGCTCTAGGGGTACAGACGAGTCCACAGAAAACTTGAACAAGTTTCCTCGTAACCGAGTAGCAACAAAAATACCTTATCAGGACCCCAGAGTCTTGAATGAGGCTCTGGGTACTGAAGGATGTCGAAGGCAGTTTCTTTGATGATAACTGGGTTCAAAATCCTGAACTTCTTTGGCTGGAGTGGGATTTTTTCTGCCACCTGCTTCCAAAAGAAGAGACGAACCCAAAATGGCTGAGGAAAGAGTACAAGCAACCATTAGGAGGGTTAGTAATGTTATCCTGTCAACAGGGGTGATAAGGGATTCACTGCTAATTATGCCAAGGTCACAGGCTTTGTACCCCAAACCCTAGAGTATCATCATCTAAATGCATGCAAATCCAGTACTTCAACCCAAAAATGTAACCCTGAAACCTGTAATTTACAAAGGTGGCACAGACCTGCATAGAAATGATAGAACCAGCTTGTTTGCTTGAGGAAGACATTCCCCAGGGATGACCCGAGGGTGTGTCTTTTACAATCTAGAGCCACTATGTTCCCAGGGAAGGACAATGAACTGGCTGGATTTAAGGGTACTGAGTGCTGTGCCTTGCTGGATGGGTCCTCAACACGCATCCACTTTCCACTGACTTTATTTCCAACTCTCATGAAGTTGCTTAGCAACAGGGTGTAGGTTAATTCATTTTCCCATCAGAATTCTATGCAATAGAAAATCCAGATCACAATAATCTGCAGAGAATCAGGCTCTGGAGCTAGAAATGGCTCCACCACATAGTATGGACCTAATTTAAAACAATGCCTATTTTAGTTTTCTGGCCCTATTCTCTTAGTTTTAGAGATAGATATTTGCCATCAGTTTGATAACTGAGCTCTGAAAATTATTTCACTTTAACGGATAGAACTACAAAGTAAAGTTATTTGATTACTGGAAAGACCAACAGGAATCCGACCAAGTGAAAGGCTCTCCTCCGTCTTTCTAGAAGGCTTTGGATTTACCCCAATGACAGGATTGTGACCATAGCATCTTTGGGATGAAATATATATATATATATTTATATATATATATATATATATATAATATTTCCCCTTCATCCTCTCTTCTTGAAGTAACTGCAAGCCATCGAGTCTCTCTTGGAGAACGAGGGAACTAACCTCAGAATACAGAGTGTGGTCCTAAAGTTCACACTCCCTTTCAGGAATGACCATCATTTTCATTTAGAAGTCTCTCCTGATTTCAATTTATTTCTTTGTTTCTAAGACAGGATCACATGTAGCTCAGGCTGGCCTCAAACTCTATGCAGCTGAGGACGGCCCAGAGCTCATTCTCCTGCTCAGGCCTTCCGCACGCCAGGCAAGCACTCTACAACTGAGCTGCATTTTCAGTTCCATGAACCAATTCTTAACCAGGTCTGGAAGCAATTTGCAGCAAGAGTTCTGAAGGGTTTCTACAAAGAGGGAGAGTATAATTTGAAAGACAACACAAAAGCACGAATTCTACTGTCTATTTAAAAATAAATGTCCATAATTGCAATCCAAGATGCTCTAACTTTTTACCAATGTTTGACTGCCCGAGGAATCTGGGTTCTTACCAGGCTTTCATTTTTTACCATTGCTTGAAGCCACTTGAAATCAACACTCTTAAATAAAACAGTAACGAACAAGTCATTGGCGTAGTAGTCAACATCCGACAGTGGAGCCCCCTCCGGATAAGTCATCCTTATAGTAGTTTTATTTCCAACGTGTTCAGAATAACCCTCAACTGGTGCACTGTTTAACCTGGTCAAAGGGAACAATTGTCAAAGGAGGCCATTAACCACCCCGCCACACCACGAGACATCCCAACATCCTATGCCATGTCCTCCATGCATCAGGACACTGTTGGAGCAGGCTTCCCTCCCAGTGGCCTTGGTGCACTTCACAACACTGTCCTTCAGGGTCCTGGCTGCACCCAGCCTGCTGTCCCCGGAGGAACACCAGCATATGGCCCTAGACTGTCAATGTCAGCAGTTCTGCCATGTCCTGGTGTTTGAAGCTAATCCAAACATATAACATTTGGGGCTTTCCTGGATATTACTTTCTTTCAAAATCTCCTGTTTGCTTTGACAATTAAGAGTTCTTGACAGAATTCCAAAGTTTCCCGAGTACTTGGGGTTACGGAGACGCACCACTGTGCCCAGCTAGTTAATGGTCTTCTGAAATCTCATAAAAGTGTCTGCTGCACAATTGTGTCTAAATTTTCTGTCTCACGGCTACTTCCTCTTCCAGATCTTAAACACCTAATCCCTTGGTTACTAAAACAAGCTACTGAATAGGTCAACTAAATAGCAAAACATGTCACTGGGCCAGACTGTTTTCTTCTGTTTCGAAACCGACGGGCATGGTTTGTACACACACACTCTCTGATCCTGAGCGTCGTGTCCTTGTTCTAAGGAAAGGCATGCTCATGTTCTCAGGGCTTGCTATTTGCAACTTTCCAAAATGGGTCAGCAGAGAGTAACAGTACAGATGGACTGTCAGTGGACCGACTTAAAATCTTTCAACTTTATGATGGTTCAAAGCCAGGAGCACTTGACAGAAACCCAATTGAACTTTGGATTTTGATTTTTCCTGGGCTGGTGACCTGTATGGTGTGATACCTTTTTATGATGCTACGGGGTGGCAGCCATGTGGACCATGAGGGGAAATGGATGCTCAGTAGGCTAGGTGGAGGCAACGCATCCCCACTCCTCACCTTCCCTTACATGTACGAATGGGTTGACATGGGAAGTCCTCCTCAATGGCTCTCCACCTTAATCACTGCAACAGGTCTCTCAGTTGAAGCCAGAGCTCACCGGTATGACTACTTTAGCCAGCCAGCCTGCCCAGGAGATCCCTTGCCTCTGCCTTCTGAGTCTGGAATTATAGAGCGTGGTATTTACAGCTGGGCTGGCAATGTCTCCTTGGCATTCACCTGGGCACGGCAGGGCTGAGCTCCAGTCCCACAAGCACCTATGCACTGAGCTACTTCCCTTGCCCCTCGTGAACCTTTTGATCAAAGTGTGCGCTGGGTGTGCAGTGGAAGCCTCCGGGATCGCTAAGGAGCATCTGTCTAGATGATACAGGGAAAATAAGCTCAGCCAGGTGTGCTCAACCAGGGCGTTTAGGAGAAGGTAAACGGGAAACATCTGTACTATCACCATGGAATTATGAAAATGAAGATGCTTCTTAACCTTTCTCTTTCTTACTAGGCTTGATGCACCCATCACCGCCCCTGGTGCACGGGAGTCTCCCTGCCCTTGAAGCCCTTATGCCCAGTCCCGCCACCCCAGGACATCAAGCCTCATTTCTGGTCCTTCCCAGCTGCCTTAGCCCTGTCCCTGAACACCAGGTAGGGTTCTTCATTCAGCCATCCCTGTGTGACTCCTCTCTGAGAAGAGACACACTGCTGTCCTTCTAAGCCAGCTTGATATGAGTCCCCTCTAGCCATCAGTCCTGGAGGTCTGCCCCATCTGTATCGGTTCTAACCTACTTCCTTCCCACAGCCTAGCCATGAACCACTGGATGGGTGAGGGGCTCCGGGCCCTGTCTTGCACAGTGCTACTTGCACACAGGCATTAATTTGTTCAAATGAGCCCAGGTACAAGGTTCTCGAAGTCTTCAGACCTTGTATTTAATCAGTTAGGGACTGAGATCTTTGTGTCTTCCGTGATACCAGACACTCATGACATCAACCACTGGGGTTATATCTGAGAGGAAAGCACTTAACACTTCCAGGTAACAAAAGCCAGAACAGGTGGCAGCTGTTACACACCACTGACCCCTGTGAGACCTGGCCCACTCTGTTCTGCTCCCAGTCATCTGTGGCTCCCTTCTGCTTCCTCCTGGTTTCTTTTCCTTGCCCCTTTGAATACTCAACCTTTCCTACAAAGGCCTTTTACCCACTGCACCTCGCCCCAGCCCGCTACTTCCCATGCCCTCTCCCTAAGTAGCGGTAGCATTTACAGAGCACTGAACACCGTCCTGTCACTCACTGCGCTTTTACAATCATCTGGTCTCCACAGCGGACAAACCCTATGGCTTCTGGATTACCGACGAGGAAACTGAGGCAACATGGAGTGGTTGGCCCAAATCACAAAGGTCCCATGTGAACATCCTCACTTTGGGGATCAAAATGGCTGGCATGGGTTTTGTCACTTCTCGGCTTCTGTTAGTGGTTCCGCTAAGACCTGAGGCCTCTGGAGTAGAAATCTTTCTATCACTTGACATTAGTTTTCAAACCATTAAAAGGGGCTGTCAATTAGTTTTCAATATGCTCCCCCCAGATTCAGTCTTGTCACTGCTTCCACTGTCTGTGTGTCACCCCCAACCATATATGTCACACCTTCGTCCCTAGGCGCTGCTCCATTCTCCTCTTCCATCTGCCCATGTGTCTCTGCAGGACAGACTGAATTAGGGCCCAGATCTTGTGGCTAATTTACTGCACTGCAACCCAGGGTTGGGAAAATAGGCCTTGAAGAAACCAATTCTATTTTAAATAACTTGTCTAAGGAACCAATCAGAGCTGGATAAAAAGATACGAGCATAAAAATATGCAAAGTAAGTTTCATAATAAAAAATAAAGAGACATAAATCGTCTAATGTCTGGCAAAAGAGTCACCAAAAAATTATTTTCTTCTAAAGGAGCTCTGAGATACTTATGACCTAAGAAACTAATCATAAATGTAAGTTAAAATATTTTATAACAACAGGAATGGAGGGACAGAGAGATGCCCTGGTGGCGAGGAGTGCTGGCTGCCCTTCTGGAGGGCATGATTTGGTTTCTAACAGCCATACTGGGTGGCTCACAACAGTCTGTAACTTCTCTCAGGAGATTCTGATGTCCTCTCTGGCCTCCACAGGCACCCCCATGCATATGCACACACACGGATTATACAAATAAAAAACAAAATCAATCTTTAGAGGGAGACAGAAACACAGATGCAAGCACACGGCCAGAGGAAGTGTGAGGAGCAGCACAGCAATCAGCAGTGGCTGGTTACTTGTGCTATGAATAGCCGTTATGTTCTTCCTAATAATGGGTATATTTTACATTTATAATTGGAAAAGCTTTTCTTTCCTGTGCTATTACTAAATTCAGGACCCTGTGTATTATAAGCAAGCAATATACCATTCAACTATACACCTAATCTAGAAAAATAACTTTTAGGCACTGTGTGGGAGCACATGCCTTTAACCCTAGGCAGAGAGGTCTCATCCTAGAAAACCAAAACCAAACAAACACCCTCCCCCCAAAAAAAACAAGCCCCCAAACCAAACAAGTATGCAAACAAGCAAAACCCCCTTTGAAGAGTCAGGAAAGTCACTGAACTCTAGGGTGGCTGTTTATTGCCTGTGCTGAGTTCTAACTGCCCTGGAGACTATCTATCCTCCCAGAGCTCACTATCCCTAAACTCTGTTCCCAGGGCCAGGTGTCCCCCATTGCCCTCCCGCCTTGCATCAGCCTACAGCCCCTGCCTAACAGTACTGTTTACCAAGTGCCCCCATCTTTCAAAACCTCCTTCGTCTGCAAGGCCTGGCAAGTGATGGCAGCCCACAGTATATGCCTTGAATCTTGGATAACCAATACACAGTTTGAACACCTGGCCATTTGTGATTTTGTTTCAATAACCCCAAGAGTTGAAGTGGGGGTGCTGAAGAGCTCCCACTGTTTCTCTCTGTCCCTGGAGCTGTACTATCCCAGAGTACAAGACTAAATTCTAGAGGAGAAAGGCTGGTTTTGAGCGCAGATACCTTATGACCACATCGAACTGGTTGAGGGCGTGGCCCAGCTTTAGTCCACGAAGGATGCCCCCGTTCCCAATAACCACACAGCGCTTGCAGTGCTTGGCTCTCAAGTGTTGAGGAAAGTCATGCTCAGGCAGCATATCCAACAGGCTCTGGACTTTACTGGAGAACATCCGGAATCCAAAAGGCGGGTCGTACTTGAGCTCCTCACTGGCCATGGGGCCCTTCTGCACAAAAGGCTCCAAGTTGATGCTGTATCCGTCCCCAAATACCCGAGCCATAGTATTCTTTGCGTGCATGGGCCGACATTCCTTCTGTAAGACTTTCTGAGCATATCTCTGAGCTCTCTGGAAGGGAGGACCAATACAGGCTTTAAAACCTCTCCAACATTAGAATTTCACACTGTCCAGACATTCAGTCCTGTGATGCCTGGAGTCACTCCCTTGATGATTAGCATCTGGCAATACAGAACGTTTACCTTTTAGGGTTAGTGTTTTGCTCAGGAACAGGAAGGAACCAGAGGGCCACATCTATGACAACAGAAACTCTACAAGGCTATTACTTTCACTATGCCACTGAGACAAACTGTCACCAGAAGATGGGCCCTCAGTTAGCTGGCTGCACTTACCTGTAGTATGCAAAGTGGTCAGATTTACAGAAAACGCACAGGACAATGGTGGGACCAGGGACTGAGGAGACAGAGATAAGGAATGTGCCTAAAGGCACATAAACGGTGGTTTTCAAAGATTCTGGAGAGCCTGCAAGATGGCTCATAGGTAAAGATGCCTGCTGCTGACCTGAGTTTAATCTCTGGGACCCCCAGGATAGGAGGAGAGGGCTGAATACCGAAAGACCACCAAAAGTGGTCTGACATCCATACTGTGTTATAGTCTGCACGCACACATGCACGCACACACATGGCTTAGTAGTATGTTTGCTTGGCATGTGGCAATGCTCTGTTTTGGCCCACAGGACTAGCTAAGATGGTAAATTTTGTTATATGGGTTTTTTTTTTCATTTGATTTTTTTTTTTTTTTTTACTGTGATAATAATAAAGAGCTTCATGTTTTCCAACCAGCAGGGTAGTAAATAGTCTTGTTTCTCAACAGGGTTAATCAGTTTTGTGCCTTCAGTGTTATCAGAGAACAAGTGTCCTGACCACACAGAACTTGCTGGTTCCTGTGTACTTGCCCAGAGCTGGTCCTCCTATGTGCAAGGCCAGTTGCCGAGGCCCGGTCAGAAGACTTCTCACGCGCTGCTCCTGCTTTGTGATTCCCATTTTGTGTCTGACAGCCTCACATAGCTACTCCTGTGCAGCTGCCTCTTGTGTGCACGCAAGTCCGTGTGGATGTGTGGCACAGGCTCCTGTGCGAACCAGGAGACCTATTTTTAGGACTGTATCTTGTCTTCAAACCTGTCAGTGTATCATGAAGATTCTTACCGTTGTAGTTTTAAACATTACCTCAGCTGTTTTCCTCAGAGTCTTATTACTTTTACTCTAATTTTTTTATCACGCTTGATTCTGTGTATGTGTGTGTAGGGTATCTGAGGCAGTTTTCTCCTTCCGTGTGGGGCTAAGGGAGGAACTGGTTGTTGGTCTCGGCAGCAGGTGCTTTTTACACAGGAAGCCACCTGATCAGCCATTAGCTGATTTTCACAAAATATGTTTTTGACAGAAATATTTCCCTCATCTCAGTAGAAAACCTTTAAAACTATTTTTCAAGTGTACCCTTGAAAAGTTATTTAGTGCCTGCAAAGGGCAGTGTGTGTGCACTTGGGGATTAACTTCCTTTTGGTAAAGGGAAACCGACTGATGTTATCACAGCCTCACACCTCCTGTGACACCCGAAGATAAGGTCACCAATAAAACTTTGTGGTTTCAAGGTGGCACACCCAGGAGAATGAATCACTGAGCAGGACTGCTTTTGTGCCAAGGCCTGAAACAGCAGCTTCTGCGCCTGTGGGTAAGGAACGAAACACTCCACAGATCAACAGTTCACATAAGGACTGGCATCTTCCTGAGGTGTCAGGAGGAAAGCCAAGAAAGGAACTTGAGTCCTCACAAACACTAAGCAGGTGAGGCTCCGCCCCTCATGGGCCTCATCCCAAACTGGGGGTGGGGGACAAACAGAAGGGTCCTGCTACTGTCTTCATTCATCTCTATAGTCTCCAGGTCTGGTGGTCATAGACAGCCATTTTTGGAGCCCCTAAGGCCCAATTCACCCCTAGAATATACGGCCAGCACATGCTTTCACACATCACCTAGGATCCAAAGGAACATGTCAAAGTGCCGAAAGACCCAGGGAAGGGGGCTGGAAGCAAGCTGGGAGGATGCGTGCAGCTCTCCTGTGCTGCCAAGTCTTTTCTTCAGAAGTTTCCTTTGGAGAGGAGTGAAATTTCATTCCATTCCTTGTCCTGGAAAAGCATTCAGTTTCGGGCTTCAAATTTAATCTACTATACTGTGAGCAGAGCCCAAGGCTCAGCCGTCACCCTCTGCAGCAACCCTGCCTGTTTCACGGCTGGGGCTGGAGATCTGAGTAAGCAAACAAGCACAGCTAAATGGCATTGTAAAACTACTGCAAGGCCCTCCTCATTCGTTTCCACTCATTTAAAGATGTGCTGAGCTCTGAAGGTGCCTGAAATCACAGGGGTAATTTCTTCTAACTAGAGTGGACTTCAGAGCCTCTCCTCTTTTCCCTACATGGGGTTCACGCCCCCCCCCCAAAAAAAAACCCCAAAACCAAAAAACCCAATGGTGGGACAGTTCACTTTTCACTTTAAGGAAGTGGGGTGCTTAGAGGAAGTAGGCATTCCGGAACAAGGCAACCAAGTGGAGGAGGGCTGACTGGGAGGCGCCATCCTGGCGGCTCTGGGATCCAGAGAGCTGATGTTCCTCTTATAAGAAACAAGATACTGTGTCAAATCTAGGGGTGGAAATAACGGCTTTAGCTCTTCAAAGTCCCCCAGGTTGAGCTGCAGGCCACTGACAATGAAGAATAAAGACATCTTGAAGGTCCAGCTGTCACGGAAGTGACAATTTACTATGGGACAGCTCAACATGAAAATTCACTGAAGGGAGTTAAGGGCAAGGTGATTTCCTCAGCAAAACTGCCATTCCTGGCTTTGGAGGGCACGTTTCTTAGAAATACAAGTAACTGGTAGACTTTTGAGTCCACATGAGGCCCTATCCTCATTACCTGCTGACTTTATAGTTTCAGGAGAGGAAAGAATTTAGGTCAAAGAACTTTGGGTTAACTAAATACGGGAAAGAGCCTAACTCAGCCATACTGCCTGGTATCTGGAGACCTGTTCCTATAGAAACACTAGTTTTCACATCTGTGACTGCACACTGGTCTCCTCCTCCCTTTGCCTAGTGGCTGCCACAAGTGAGAGCAAAGCTCTCAGCCTTACAGGTGATTACAAGCAGCCAGGATTTAAGGATAATACTCAAGGGGCGGACGCCACAGTGAACCCTCACTGCTGCAGAGGATGTGGGCTCTGTGTGGAATCAGTTGAGGATAAGGCTCTGTGGGAACTGACTGGTGTGACAGAATGCCCCAAACTGACTGACGCTGAGAATGGTGTGACTCAGGGAGTGCTCTGAAGGATTAAATCGAACTGTGTGATTTCATATCCATCAACTGTCAGACGGAAGGGCAGGCAGCTTCAGATCTACGTAACAGACAGTGGATGCTGGATGGGGGTCGGGGGGTGGAGCTGTGGTCTGTTTTTTTAACCTCTGACACGTTTTGGGGTGGTCTGTAGAAAGTGGGGTGGTACCAAGGACAGCAGGGATGTGTGCGGTTGCTGCTGCCACTCAAGGACCAGCTCTGCAGGGCCAGTCTGCTCACTGTGAGCATGGTAAATGGGGGACCACAGCGCTGGAACACTGAGGAGTTGGACCCCTGATTAACTATGCTCCCCAGAATGGTGTCCCCAGGGTGATCTGTGCTCTTAAGCTCTCTGAAGGAAGGGTGTTCAAATTGCTGCTGCCACCACTCAGACCAAGCCTAAATTGACACAATATGGCAGTTTCTCTTCAAATATCTTTGAAGTACAATTTTGCATCTCAGACACACTTTCAATGTCTAAGCCTCCCTTCAGAGACTACCATTGGTCTTGTTAATAACTGGCATGTTAATGGACATTTTTAAATTAAGAAAAATCATAAATTTCACAACTTGGCAGCTGTTCTCCCTCCCTGCGGAATGAACTGCAGCTGGACTCAGTGCAACTACAAACACTAGTATCTGATAGGACAGGACAGGGTGCCATTCATGCTTCCAGACGCTGGATAGATACACCAGTGAAGCTAACTGTTCTGAGACTACACATGTACAATCATTCAAATCCACCCACATGTAAAGCCAGATGTGTAGCGCACATCTGCAATCCCAGCTCACAGTGTACAAGAGATAACAAACTAGTGTGCTGCCTGCTGTAGCTTTAAGGACCTCCCATCTGCCTCCTTTTCCACGTCTTTTCCTGCTGGGCCCCACCCCAGGGCTTCCATGAGAAGCTGCACACAGGAGAGGGGGACATCTTGCCAAGACCTTTCTGAAAAGTGGGGCAGTGTATAAGGGTGAAAACTGTTTCTGATGTTGCTGCTGTTTTGTTTCTTTTCAGAAGGGTGGGCGCAGTGAGATGGCTGAGTAGGTAACGTGCTCCACCGTCCCTCTGGAACCCACATGGTGGAAGAACCAACTCCTGTAAGTTGTCCTAAGACCGCTATGTGTATGCTGCAGCATGTATTCACCCACAGACACACATATGTAAAGGAAATGTTTGAAAAAAAGATGTTAAGAGATTGCTACTGAGTGTTTAAGGTGAGCCTGAGCCACACAAGAACCCGCCTTTAAAAATGTCTCAAGTAATAGAACACAGGGCACCTTGCCTCCGGTTCTCTACCATGGTTCTCGATGGCTCTCAGGGATTATGCGCACATAACAGTCTCCAGCTTCCCTTCCACAGTGGAGAGCTGTAGCAAACGTTCTCCGGGATTCATCCCTGAGGGTTTTGTTGTTGCTTAGTTTTAGAAACAGGGTCTTGCTACACAGTGCACACTGGCCCCAATCACTGCCTCATTCTCTTGGTGCTGGGAACAGCACTGAGTCATTATGTCGAGTTCCAGTGTTAGTTTTCAGCTGGAAAGAGGAATGCATTATACAAGTGCAAAAAGCCAACAACAGAAGACAGTGGGCTGTATTTACAGGAAACAGGCAACGGCCTGGGAGGCAGAAAGGGATTCGTGGTTGCCTGGGGCAGGGAGTGACTGCTAATAGAACTGGAGTTTCTTTGGGGATGATGAAAAGCCTCTATATACACAGCTCCATGCAGTGCAGCTCCATAAATACATGGAAGACTGTGCACCACATGCTTTAAACAGTGAATTTTATGATGTGTGAATTACATCTCAATAAAGGGGTTAGAAAGAAATAAGTTGAGAGGGAACAAGAGAGAGTGGCTCCACCCAGTGCACCCACCCTATGGGGTAGTGCTAGATGATGTGGGGCAAAAGGAAGCCAGATGGGGCCATACAGTTCCACAAGTGGAGGAAGAGGTCTCCATGTGCTCCCAAAGGTAATGAGAGACCAAAAGTCTTAAGGGGAAGGTGACTCAGCAGGTTCTGTTTTTAGAAATTCTACTGTGCAATCACAGGGCATGCCTGAGGCAAAGACAAAACATAAACAGATAACAGGCGAGAGGAGGGAACTCCTAAGAGCCAGTTTGGCATTCAGGCCTTTACTCAGGCTCTCAGGAATTGTATGAACTCAACTCCACTCACAAATAATTTACAGTTCAGACAGACTGGTAATATACTCACATGAATTAATATGAGAGAGAGTGTGGCAAACGGCAGGAGATCTCAAGCCTTTCCTCCTACAGTCTGGCTGCTAGTCCAATACACTTGTCTGTCACTCAGGTCACCTAGGCAGGGCCAATCATTTCCCCAAAGCAGATCTTTCAGGCAATGTAAGTGTTCCCACCCTCTCTATGGCACCTCAGAAATGTAGTCTTGACTGTCTTTTTGGTCTTTATCAAGTCAGTACTGCCCTGAAGAACGTTAAAGAGCAATAGCTACAGTAATCATTGAGCTGGGGCAATGGATCCGTAGTTAACAGCACTGGCTGCTCTTCCAGAGTACCTGGGTTTGATTCCCAGCATCTACCTGGAGGTGCACAACCATCTATAATTCCAATTCTAGGGGATCCAATGACCTTTTCTGGCCTCTGTGGGCACTGCACACTTATGATATACAGACATACAGGCAGGTAAAACATCTATACACAAGCTGAGTGTGGTGGCACAAGCCTTTAATCCCAGCAATCAGGAGGCAGAGGCAGGTAGACCTTTGAGTATGAGGCCAACTGGTCTATCATGCAAGTTCCAGGACAGAGAAATCTTTTCCTGAAAACCCAAAATCCAAAACAAAACAACAAAACCAAAACCTTATATACATTAAATTAAAAAAAAAAACCACCTCAAAAACAGAGCAATAGCTATGGGGAAATGGCTGTGTTAAAAATACTTCTGCACAAACCTGAAGACCCATGGGGAAAATCAGGTGTGGTGGTGTGTGCACACAAATACACACACACACACACACACACACACACACACACACAGAGGGGGTGGGGGGAGTTGTTTGACCTCTAAAAAGACAAGTAGACCAATCTCAGTCTCTTATTGTAGTTTTGTGGGAAATAAGGAATGCAGGTGGCCAGCTTCTACTTCTGCTGGGGGGGACTCTGCATGGTAAGACACTATGAAAACTCATCCACCCTATGCCGAGCACCATGTTCAGCCTCGTGTAAGACACTCATTCTCTCCTCCACTATACAGACTCCAGAGTCATCAACTGGCAGGCAGCAGGCAGGCAGCAGGCAGGCAGGCAGGCAGGCAGGCAGGCAGGCAGGCAGACAGTCCTGGTACATGTAATTAAAAGGACGGGAAAATAAGATGCATGAGAAAGTGGGGAAGCTCAGCAAAGAATGAGACAGAAGAATCCACAGTGATTCAGTAAGCCACACTAAATGCCATTATTTTAGGCCTTTCTCGGGAGACAGAACACAGACAGGATGTCAACAATGCTGGTCCAAGAGTGCTATGGAAAGTCATGGAATTGAACAGGCTTCAGGGGGTGTCTGCAAGGCCAGGCAGGCTTGCAGAGGAGGGAGTTCCAAGCATAGGACACTGGACAAATGTGGCTCTCTCTCAAGCAGACGTGGATCTTGATAAAACAAGAGAAGGCAGCAAGCATCAGAGGACAGAGGGATAGCAGGAAAGCAAAACCCCACGACTAAACAGGGTCAAGCTGCTCAGTGGCTTGCTTATCTATCTGAACCATAAAAACCAGAAGCATCTGAAGCATACACAGCCTAAAAGTAGATATGAGTAAATCCAAATCAAACAAGAAAGGAAGCATCTACAGATATACACCGTTGAGAAAACTTGGGCCCAGTGGATTCAGTACCATTGGATTTGATTGAGTTTGGTTTGGTTTGGTGAGACAAGGCCTGTAACTTGGGGCAATCTTCCTGCCTCTGTCTCCTAAGTGTTGGGATTACAGAGTGGTCAGGACCCTGGCCTGATTGCTTCATGTCCAACCTCCAGTCATCTCAGCTGTGGGTCAGGGAAGATGATGTGCTACATCCTCAGGGCAATCTTGAGGGCTCGTTGACAGTGTGGGACACTTGCAGCATGATTCCTGCCATACACAAGCACTGAATGAGGCTGGCTATGCTAGCTACAGACTTCAGCTAGACGTGGATGTGGGCAAGCAGGTCAAACCAGCAGGCTACTGTCTAGACAGACACGATGCTGGCTTGAGGAAGGACAGTGATACAATGAGCCACAGTCCAGGTAACAAGTCTGTTCCTATTGGAACTCACTCCCACCACGGCATCTTGTTTTAGGTCATCTCTTCGTTTACTTTGGGCTGAACACTACTAATTTAACTACTCAACATACAAGTGAAATCTGTACTTAGTGTGTATCTGACTTACAAACATCAACAGAAACTGAAAGGAAAACTTTGAATACTATGTAAAGATCCTGAAAAGTAAAACCTGTCTCGGTGCTCACAGGTGAGCACTAGAGAAACCGGGAACATTGAACACGCAGTGTTGTCTCTGAACAGAAAAGATGCATAACCTGTTTCTACCCAGAAGGCTGGGAACGGAGGTAGCTCATAGCCTAGGAGATCCCTGAGCTGTCTGTAAGGCCAGGGCCTCCCTCAAGCTCTTTCAGCCAGGACCAGAGGTGGCTAATAGCCCAGATGTCCTCTTCAAGACCACAACATAACCTCCCATGACCCGTAAGATAACACATCTGGCCTATCTTTAGAATCCATCTTCATGGAAGAAGTGACATATACTTTGAGAAGAGTTTCAAAATAATTAGGCCTCCTTGTGCACACGAGATTGTGTTACACAGAAACTTCTTTTCCAAATTGTTCTGTACTTAAAAATGCCTAAAATAAACTGCCTAGTGTCAGCCTCTTAAAGTTTGATTCAACACTGGCTATGGAGTTGTGTTGAACTGGATTTCCCTCTTGCCTCACGTGGCTCTTTACTCTGCTGGCCAAGAACTGAAGCCCAGGAATGATTCACCGCATCAACAGAACTTTTTCATCAGCTGCTTTAGAAGAATGATGGGGCAGCGTCATGATAAACTCCATGGAAGGTGCCTCAATATGCATCTGGGAGAGCCCACTAGTAGGTGGAAAATAATTCTGCAGATTGGAAGGGTCAGATGGTGGGCATGAAAGTGGTCTCTGTTTTCAGAGTGCTAAGACTGGTTTTTCCTTTGTCCTAGCTAGCTTTAACTATCAACTGGACATAGCCTAGAGTCACCTGAGAAGGAAATCGCAACTAAGGAACTGCTCAGATTAGCCTATGAGCATATCTGTGGGGGACTATATTGATTGCCACTTGATGTTAGAGGGCCCAGCCTACTGTGGGCAGTACTATTCCCTGGGCAGGGGTCCTGGTCCTGGGATATATAAGAAAGTTGATTGAATATGAGCCTGTGCAGGCCAGCAGGCAGTGCTCCTGCACGGTTTATGATACACTCCTTGGCTGTGTGTGAGTTCTCTGGATAGATGGAAATTCTGCATGGAATAGCAAGCAGATCTACCTTAGAGTTTCTGTCTTAACTTCCCTCAATGATGGGATGCACCCTGTACATTAAAATAAAGCTCCCCTCACCCCCACCCAAGTTGCTTTTGGTCAGAGAATTTTAGCACAGAAACAGATATGAAACTAGAACACGTCTTCTTCAGGTTTTCATGAGCATTTCTATGTCATACAGCAGAGATGGGGTTGTGCTTGGAAATGTCTGGATTGAAACCACACACACTAGCTCACCTTTATCTGGGCAGGGTCCACATAATACACTCTTTTCAAGTCACATTCTTCAGCAGTGTAATTCATCTTGAGGATGTACAGGAGCCAGACTCCGAGCACAACCACCACGCACCTGTGTGGGGGAGTCACGTACAGCAATGCATTACGTGATACACAGAGAAAAATAGACACCAAGTACAATCCTAATTCAAAAGAAATAAAGGCAGGATCTCAGGCAGCAATTCTCAACCTATGGGGGTCATGTAACAATATCCTGCATATCAGATACTCACATTATGATTCCTAACAGCAGGAAATAGTTATGAAACAGTAACAAAATAACTTTGTGGCTGGGAGACACCGCAACATTAGGAACTGTATCAAAGGGTCGCACCATTAGGAAGGTTGAGAACCGCTGCTCTAAGGTCACCACACAGTGAAAGGAAGGTATCATTTCCTGATTAGATGATTCCTGATTAGATACAGAACCTGCCTACACTGCCACAGTTTGCTCTGGAGAACTAATGTTACCTGTATCTTGTATATGTATAAGATACATTCTTTGTTTGGATATTTGTTCTCTCCTGACTTGGCCAAGCCATTTTCATAGACTCTTTACCTGACCATGTACTCAATCTCAGAGAAAGATGAAGATACAGTGGAGGTTTTCTGGCTTCATCTCCCAGCACCCCCTGTCACCCCCTTCTGAGACAGAGTCTAATGTATCTCAGATCTCAAAATCATCATGCAGCTGAAGATCTGGAGCCTCTGAATCTCCTGCCTCCACCTCCTAAGTGCTAAGGTAGCAGGTACACAGTACCACACCTAGTTTATGAATGAAGATCAACTCCAGGGCTTCTTGTATTCTAGGTGTGGCCCACGGAGCTGAATTCCTCAGTTTGATGTCTTGTTTTTTTAAATCAGAGGGTATTAAGACATTCCCACATCTGCAGTACATGTCTCTCTTCGCTGTACTTCCTAGCATGGTCTGTTACACACACACACCACTCAGCACAGGTCTGACCTAGGTGACCTAGGTCTGTCTGGTCTGAGGCCCTATATTAGGCACCTGATGCAGTGCTAGGTGTGTTGTAAACCTCAGTAACCACCAGCTGACTGGGACTGGATGGGATACAAATAGTTATTCACATAAACGTCCATGAAGTGAGGCGTAAGACTAACTTCCATCTCTCCTTGTCCACCCCCTTTTTCTCTCTCTGCCTTTTGAAACAGATACTTATGCATCCCCAGGCTGGCTTCAAAGTTAATATGCAACCTGGGTTGGCCTTGAGGTCCTCCCCAATCTCTTGAGTGATGGAACCACAGGCATGAGCCACAATGCCAAGCTTGAATTTACATATTTTTTATCTAAAGACTTTTAAAGAATTTTCAAACTGGAGGCTATGGAAATGGTTCAAAGGGTTGAAAACACCATCCACCAAGTCTAGTGACTTGAGTTTGACCCCTGGGATGCACACTATAGAACTGACTCCCTTGGGTTATCCTCTGATACCCAAGTGCATTCCATGGCTTATGTTTGCTGTGAATGTACACACACACATGTGTGAACAGGTGCATGCATGTACACTCACATACATGATACAAGAATACAAATAGATTTTTCAAAAATAAGGTTGATAAGATGGCTCAGTGGGGAAAGGCTCTTGCCACCAAGCCTGGAAATCTGAGTTTGATCCCCATAAATCACATGAAGGTAGGCAGAGAGAACTGACTCTACGAATTTGTCCTCTGACCTTTAAAAGCATACAGCTGCATGTGAAAACACACACACACACACACACACAGAGTATATTAATTTAAAAAAGGAGACAAAGACAAAAAGAGAAAGAAGAAAGAAAAAAAAAAAAAAAAAGGGAAGGAAAAGGAAAAAGAGAGAGAGAAGGAAAAGAAAAAGAAAAGGAAGGAAGGAAGGAAGGAAGGAAGGAAGGAAGGAAGGAAGGAAATTGGTTTGGCTGGTACCAAAGAAACCCGCCAAGTTCTTCCTCTGCTAATTTTCCTAGGTGCTGGAATGTAAGAGTCACCTGGCTTAAGCACCTCTGTCTTCTCCAGTGTTCAATATTTAGTGGTATTCAGGTGTCTTAAGGGGACTTTAGTTCACCAGTTTACATGAGCTCATAATAGTTAAGAACGCCTCTTTTGGTAAGCAGTGGCATGCAGAACTGTAAGTTGCTCTCAGGCAGCCAAGCTCAGAGACGGACCAGCTGCTGGGAATGGTGCTCCCACAAACCCATCTACCAAATACAAGCAGAGGATAAAGTCACTCATCTACATACTGAGTCTTCAACTCAGCTGTGGTGCAACCTGCTTCTTGGACCCAGCATTTTCTTCTAACATCAGGTGGCAACCTCACTGATATCGTTGATCTAGATGCTGTTGACCTAGAGGAGTCAGTCTTAGGGCCTGGGGGTTGTGCTTACTTGAGGACGTCTTTTAATAACAAGCTGGGTCTTCTCATCTTGTGCTGGGTTTGGGTGTACCATTGCAGGGAGGTCCTTGAGCAATCACTTCTCAGCTTTGCAGAGGTGAAATCACTTGGCATTGCTGGGAAGAGAGAGGAAATGAGGGAAGAAAGAATTGTTAGGTGGATTATACTTTTACAAAACTAAAGTGATACAGCTGTGCCCGGAGTACTCCTCGGTGAGAAAAGGGATGGATTCCCAATACAGCAACTTGAATGAAACAGAAGGGAATTATGCTGACCCCGTGTTGTAGGGTCACATACTGTATGAGACTTAACATTCTTCAGAGGATAAAACCAGATAGCATAGCAATGAGTGCCAGGAATTATGGGGAAGAGGAGGGGCGCTGGTACATGCCTATCATCCCAACACCCAAGAGGCTGAGGCAGGAGGAGAAATGCCAAGTGTTTTTCTCTAATAGCCATGGATCTGAGGATCTCTCTCTTCTCTCTCTTCTCTCTCTCTCTCTCTCTCTCACACACACACACACAGACACACAGACACACACACACACAATAAGTAAATAAGAATAAGATTTTAAAACCAGAAATGTTTATAGATGAGAGAGCTACTTGGCAAAACAATAAACACGAAGAGGGGAAACTGAAGGCCACAGGGAACATGCCGAGGACAATGATGACCGAAGCTGGGAACAGGTGAGTGCTGCTTATTCCTCTTACTGTACATGTGATGTTTATGGTTTTAAAAACCATGGAAAGATTTTTTTAAAGTTACATTAAACACAAGTGTCACATCAAGAGAGACAAATAAAAAGAGATAATGGCAATTTAAAAAGAAATATTTCCTTTAGATATATGTCTGTGAATATACTTCCCTTTTCCCTTTCTTTTTCTGCAGTGCTGGAGGCTGAACCAATGTCTCACACATGTGAGTACTTTAGCACCAGTCACATTGCCAGCACACCATTCATCTCTGTACATGAGTATTATCCCATGAGAAAATATGAAAGAAGTTGTTCTTCTCCCTACCCCTCCTCCCCAACACCCACTTCTCCCCAGAGTTTAAGTTGGAAACATGGCCTGCTAAGACAGAGAGTTCACTTCCCAGATTTTCTTGGAACTGGTTATGCCCCGTGCTTAAGTTCTAGCCAATGAAATAGGAGCAGAATTCCTACTTGCAACTCCCAGGGTGCTTCCCCCACTGCCCCCCCTACCCTCGTGCCTTAGCACAGTCCCTCTTCTCCTTTCTGCTCGGTCCTGCTGACTGAAGTGCAGAAACGAGCCGCTTGGGACCACACAGGAGGATATCTAGTACATCTCTGACAACACCAATGGAGAGCTAAGTTATGTTTGAAGTTTTAACTACTATGCCTCAAAGATCCATAAAACAAAAATGCCTCTAACCTGTCAACCCACTTGTCCAAGGACAAGATGCTTTCTGCAATGCTGGAGGGTGTTACCCATGTATGATAAAAAGCCACGTTTTCACTTCCCCAAACGAGTTTGATTGATTCAACTGCACCTGATGTGCTTGATCACACAGATAGAAAACATGTAGGCAGGAAGTACAAAAGGATATATGCTTGTCCCTGATTGGACACAGGCAGGAGGTATGCAGGCAGGAAGTATGTCAAGATATACGTTTGCTCCTGATTGGACCTGGTGGAAAATACATAGCTTTATGGGTTCTGTCTTTATAAGCCACTGGGAAAAAAATGTGACTTGCTGCCATTTTCGGGGAACCTCAGAATGGTCCCGGCCAGAGTCCATCATCTTGGCCAGTAATTAAAGCTTGCTTCAAATTTGGCTCACAAGTTATGGTAACAGTCTTATTCGCAACCAGATTAACATTTTCTGGAGGCTCCAGTGAGATTCAGACTACCCACTCAAAAGCCAGACCTTTGGTCTGGAACTGCAGAACTGAGGGGCTGCCTCAGGAAGCATATGCCTTGATGTTCCAAGGTTTTAAAGTTGCCTTCAGTTTTATGAACTATGGCATGCAACTGCCATGTTGAGAAAAGCTTCGAGCATCTGAAGGCCTTCTGGTTTTGAGCCATAGTCTGTTCTGTTATGTGTGATCTATATCTGGGATGTGCAGGAGGTTCATTGGGATCCCAATTATTCTTCTCTCTAGGGCAAATAGTGAGACACTGCCTGTCTGGCTGGCTCTGGTTGGCTGGAAAGCTTTGTCTTTTGTTGTTGGAAAGTTTTATCTGTTTGTTGTGTCTGTCTGTTTTGCATGTGTGGATGGGTCTATGTTTTCTGGCGTGTCTGTAAGTTTTGTTGCAAACACGGAGCTGAAGACAGAAATGGGTCTTGCTCAGTTGAATAAATGTATAAATGTATGGTGGCTACCACATTTTGCTTCTGACTGTTCGTCGAGTTTGTAACCTTCCTTGTTCTGTTTTCTTGGTTATATTTTTGCTGTTTCTGCTGCAGCCAGCCACCAGCCACCACTACTACCATGGCTGCTTTTATGGTCAGGGCTCAGAATTTAATCTATGAGATTTCTGGCCACTAGGTTCAGTTTATCGAGGATTCAAATGTCTTTTGGGTATGGATAATATTAAAGTTGTTTTATGTTGTTCTTATTTATTGAAAAGCTGGCTCTGGAATTGGGTTATGGTTTTCCTTTTTTCAGACCCAGGCATGCTTTTAAAGTCTCTACGTCAGAGTAAGGGGGAATCCGCCTGATGCTGTGATAAAAGAAAGCAAATCAGAATGGCCAAAAGAATTAGACTATTGGTTTACATGAACTTTTTGTACTTCACAGTTTATAACTTTATTGGGTATAGTGTAAAACCTCTGAAAAGAAAAAAAAGTAACTTAAAACTTGTACTATAGTATTGATAGTTAAAAATCTATGCATAGGTAATCTTAAAGGTACCATGTGGCATGATGCCATTTTGGGATATAAGCAACATGTGGTTTGCCACACCTTCTTAGCTGCTGTCCCCCATCTGGAAAGAGGCAGCCACATGGCTGGCAACCATCTCTGTTAGGGATGTAGAGGATGAATGTCATGTGACTTCACCACCACCATGTTGATTAAAGGAAGGTACAGGGTCTGTAAGATTTTGTATTAGGGTAGATTTTTGTATAACAATTTCTGTCCTGAAAACAAAGTCATATAAACCAATGTTTATGAAAGACAGAATTTAAAAACAATTTTTGTTTTTATGGTATAAAAGCTTTATCTCTATGAATTTACATATAAGAACATTCCTTGTGCTAGCAGCCAAACTTTGTAATATGAGTCACCCAGGTGGAACTGGTTTTAAAGGTATGAAGTAGCCATGGAGAATAGCTGAGGCTTAGCACTGTGTGGCAGGGCTGGAGCTGAAGAGAGCCCAGGAGAGATGCTGGTGCTATGATAGCCACCAGAAACAGCAGCTGCCATGAAATGGAGCCAGCTGGGACCTAGAAGGCAGACTGTGTATGATGCTGAGGACAGGGCTACAGAAGTGACCCAGGCCCCTGGGAAATCCCAGAGGATTGTGAATGAATCCCAGATACTGAGCACTGAGTTGTTTGTACTGTTGGAGATTGGTTTTGTCTTGTCCAGATTATGGTTTTGCTCTTTTTTTTTTTCTTTTCCTTTTTTTTTTTTTTTTTAAAGGTTTTTCAAGACAGGGTTTCTCTGTGTATCCCTGGCTGTCCTGGAACTCACTCTGTAGACCAGGCTGGCTCGAACTCAGAAATCTGCCTGCTTCTGCCTCCCAAGTGCTGGGACTAAAGGTGTGCGCCACCACTGCCTGGCTCTTTTCCTCTTAAAAAAAAAAAAAATGGGATTGTAAACTGGTACAACCACTATGGAAGGCAGTATGGCGATATCTCAGAAAATTGAACATAGTGTTACCT